ACGCACTACTAAAACGAAATGGTTTTCCAGTGCTTCCAGGTTTCCGATAGTGGTCTGACATAGATTCACGGTCTCAATTGAAACTCAACAATCTCCACCACCGTATACTGATAATTTGTTATAGTTCTGTAAGTTTGTAACACTGATACTAATATTGAAGGGAAACCACATAAATCAAATTTTAACACATCATTGATTAGCAAGCAATGTCATATTTGTCTGTCCCTTAGTGTAAATCGAGTTCTGTCAATCAAGTTGTAATCTAGACACTGGTCTGGATGACTCACTATCACATACAGTACATTAAAATGTCAGCTGATATCGCTTCAAAACCCGTAGGTTGTATTAGTTTTCACAAGTTTATAGTTAGAAATTTCTGATTAAGATCAACTAGCCTGTGACTTAGATCCAGGGATTCATTCTGACTACCTCCAATCAACCAATTTAAGATTGTTTTTTTGAAAATATCTAAATTTATAATTCCTATAGGGTTTCGTTAATTATCTTTCAATGAAGTAAAATACATTCTTATAAAATTCCTTCAAAACTCCATAATTACAGACTAATCAATCATTATGGTTGAATAATTCTGAAATTGTTGTTTTATATATTTTTCTTTGCCAAAATGGACATGACTGAAATAATTAAACCATGTAAAATACGATTTTGTTCATCTTAAACAAAATAAAACAAATTTATACAAAGAAGAATTTACATTTTGTAAATGTAATTAACTACACTGATCATCAACTGGTTCTGAAAGCAGAAAACAGTCCATATTTTTCTCGTGGTAAACAAACTAACTATTCGAACAGAAAAATCAACAAATAGTGTAATGAACGGGATATTTGGGACGTTAGATCCCCTTGGGATCACTTGGAAAAGGACCTAATTTTGTAATTTTATTTAGAAAATTTGAATTTCTTTGTTTTCGCGCCAAAGGCGCTCTTGTCACCTTCGTTTTGTATTCCCCACTGGGAAATACCTTAAATTCTATTGGTCTGTTGTGTCTTTTAGTATGCTATTTGGTAACTCTCCCCAAAGACGCTTTCGCACTATATATATATATATATATATATATATATATATATATATATATATATATATATTGAATTGTGTTTGTTGTTATCGCTCGTTTCTGGCTGATTTGCAGAATATACTTCCCTTTCTAAGCTTGGACTTCTCCCTCTAGTTAGCGGGGCTGGAACGCATCAATAGCTGGCTTACTGGTCTTTGGTCACTGAGTCTTGTTCTTGTTCTCAGATTAAGTGAACTCGTGATAGCTTCAAAATTAGCACGGGAACACAGGAGGGGACAACCAAATGTACCAAAATACAACATCATAGAATGTCTTGGTAAAATCTAAGAACAATATAGTGAATACTTAATTGGCGAAATATCCATCAATTGTCTTAGACTTTGTTATTCCTTCGTTTCAGTACCAATCACTCTCATTTCTCATTCACTTCTCTTCGATGATCTCAATTATTTTCGTCAAACATTCCAATTTCGTTTGGTGACATATACTACTTATATTTGTCAACATCGGTAGCACACATCACAGTAGTATTGTGGAAAGAGAAAATTTAAGCAGTGAAAATAAATCAAAATATGAAGATATAGATTAGTATGAAAATAAAGAAACGAACTGAATAGAACAAAAATCATTTCGATAACAATGTTGATTGTTTTTTCCCCATCTACCTAGTTGCCTATTATTTAATTAGAAATCAGTAATACTAAAAGATTATGCTTAGCTTATGATTATGAGAAAATGGTAATAAAAATATGGTTCCCTATAGAAACTTTATTCAATCAACGATTTCCTCGGATCTTCTATTGAAGTCCCAAAGTATTCCACAGATACATAAGTTATTTCTTTGAAAAAACTACACATGCCTTTCATTTCACATTATATAATGGAAGCTGGTAATAATTAATGTACTTTAAGATAATGAATGAGAGACCATTAATTTCCCGATTCTATCAAATAAGTAGATTGATTAATTTTTAAAATTACGGTAAAGATAATACAAAATATTTTATTAAAGTCATTATTGTACATTCAAATGAATGTAAAATATTGTGTTCAAAATGATAGTGTGGATGAACGTTATTTAAATCGGACAATGTTGTCGAAAAGGCTCTCCACTTTAGTGGCCCGAGATCTGACTTCAACTAGATCGTATGAATGATTGTCATTGAAATATATATGTCGCCTATCCTCGTATATAATCATCGACTTAAATCGCGTTAGTCAATAACCTAATTAAATAAGTCAAATAATGAGAATGAACGTTTGAATACACAGATTTTCTATATGAAGCGAATGGAATAGAGAGAAGAGAAACGACGCAGAGTGGAGATGGCTGGTAAGCCAAGGTCAGAATGTGACTCTAGTAGATTGAATAGAATGGGCTTCCCAAAAGCTAGAATAAGATATATGGGCTTAACATAATAACGGACACTACAATGATAATTGTTTCAACTTTACATTCTATTCTGTTAGTGCTCATTTAATTCTTTTCAGTAATAGTTGAATACATTACTTTTAGATAAATTTAAACAATACAAACGTCTTTTGGAATTAGTAATGTTAAATTCATTGAGGGACTATTTTTAGAATGAATATTCATTCATTTCTAACTTTCATATAACTGGTTATATATTTTATTGAAGGAAGATACAAGTGGAGAAGACTACTTTATTGTTTAGTGCATAATTACAGAGTACATTTAAAGAAAACTATATATCAAATACATCATTTGCATAACTTCTTCTTCCTTCATTTCTGTTATTATCTAAATCTCTCTCAGTTTCCTTCTTTCTTCTTTTTCATTTTAATCTTCTTAACATTGTGCTCATAGGTATTTCATTTCTGATTGGCGCTACATACTACTTATATCTGTAAACATGAATAATATACACCATAATATATTTCATAATAAACTATATTTTCATTAATCATTTAATCAATATGATAAATTTGAACTAAAATAAAGTAACAATGATCAAGTGTCTAATTTGTATGATTCATCGAAATATGTGTATTACAATTCTTTTCTACTGTAATTATTTGTGGTTTTGGCGTTTTCCGTTTCATGTTCTTCTCAACGAATATAGAAGGATACCCGTTTTTAATAAGTATCACTAGTAAGAGGCCCAATTTTTCACCACTCTATAGCAAAGTGTCTGGCAAATCTCCTAGAACCCGTTAGAAAACGCATTTTTAAACATTCCGTACGTGATACTTATGAATTTATCGAGCACATAAAAGAAGTGAATGTAAGTGACAAAATTATGCTATCTCTGAATGTCGAATTATTATTCACTAATGTGCCATTCACAGAGACCATTAATTTTATCTGCAAGTACATAGATAATAATGAGATAAACACCGAAATACCGGATGTTTATTTGAAGGAACTATTACTAAGTTGCACTTGCAATGTACAGTTCACATTCAACAACGTAATTTATAGACACAGAAGGATGGTGTAGCAGTGGGATCCCCAATTGGTCCATTACTGGCAGATTGCTTTATTGCCAGATTAGAAAACAACCAACTCAAAACAATTATAGAAAACCTCCACTTGTATAAAAGGTACGTAGATGATGTCTTAATCATTTGTGACAACAAATATGACTTAAGTCATCTCCTAATGACATTTAGTAATTGTCACTCATCAATAAAATTCACACTTGAAGTTGAAAACAAACAAAATATTCACTTTCTTGATATGAAAATGACAAGAAAGCAAGATGGTACCTTAAAAAGATCTATCTACAGGAAACCCATATGGAATGGTCAACTATCAAGTTTCTACAGCTGGGTTTACATCAGCCAAAAAAGAAATTTAATAATAACACTCGCTACAAGAATACAAAGAATCTGTAGCCCCGAAGTCGTAGATAAAGAATTGGGCCTTTTTAAACGAGATACTTATCAAAAATGGATATCCTTCGATATTCATTGATAAGAACATGAGACCGAAAACGCCAAAAACACAAATAATATACTCTATTGAAATTTGAAATTAATTCAGTACAAATAATACTCACAGACCGATGTGCTTTCATTAATAAGTACATGTATGACATAATAAAGAAGTCGGAGATTTCGACTGTTCGTAAGAAATTTTTATACATGAAACTACAATTCAAAGGGGATGTGGCTAGTGATACTCTGAAATATAGGTTAACGAAAGTAATCACCAGGACATTCTATACAACCAATCTTGCGTTGACTTTCACTTGTCGACTAGCGATGTCTACGCAAACGAATGATAAGTTACTTGAGTTGGCCTCCTCAATGTGCATTCATAAATTCAGTTGCTCCTGTGAAGATAGGTATATCGGGCGTACTACCAGGCAACTTAACCAACGAATGAGTGAACATCTACCAGCTTGGTTTATAAACAGCCAGATAAAAACAATTCGCAGTTCTATCTTGGCAAATCTTATTGATAGCGGTCATGCTGTAGATAAATCTAAATTATTTCGAGTGATCTATCGTATACCTCCATTATTTCCCAACGGAGTTCGTTCCCGCCTCCTACATATAGCTGAAGCCATAGGAATTTGTACATATAACCTCAATTTATGTGTACAGAAAAAATAATATTTACTATAATATTATTTCAACCAATCAGATTATTTGAAATGATAAATATGCAATTGACCAATCACAACTGAATAATTTAGAGTATGATTTAATGAAATAATAAATAAATATTAACTAAATAAATCATTAGAAATTATTACGTAATTTAATGTTTTATTATATTTTCCCCTTAGTTATAGATGATTATCATATTTTGTTTTAATGTCTTAGTAACAAGAATCCTATTTTAATATTTTATCAAGAAAGAAAAAAAAACTGTATCCATCCAGTAAAAAAAGGGGTGGTGAAATGAAATTTTAATTACGCTTCATTTCAATTTGTATTCATGAGAAAGTAAAGATTTTACAAGATTTTATTATAAACCAATGAATATGAAATGGAACAATCTAATGTAAATTTAAAACGTAGTTCTGAACTATCTAATGATGATAATCAAATTGAATTTATACAAGATAATCCATGTTCTGCTTCTTCTTCATCTTCTCCACCTCTTCCTTCTATTCCTCAAAATATAATCTTATCAAAACAAGAACCAAGTGACTTTAATGATAATTCAATTAAAGGTTTACAAATATCTAATACAAAATTAAATACAATTTCAAATGAAGATGTTCGAAGACAATCTAGTATACATTCTGAACAAACATTAAATATTACTCATCATTTATATCCTACAACATCTTTATCTCATACAGCATCAGCTTTTTCAAGTTATTTAAGAATTCCATCAATTTATGAACAAATGAATGAACAAGTTATATCAACACATTCAGCTGATTGGTCAAAATCATTACATAGATCAAGTTGTTTTAATACACCACAAAGTTTAATTGATAAAGATCAACAATTTACACAAGCAACAGTTCGTGCTGTATTAGCTGCTAGTGCTAGAGAATCTCGTACAGCATTAACTGATTTACCATTAGATTTTTTTATAAATCATTCTAATTTAACTAATATTGATAATAAATTAAATTCATTATCAGTTCAACAATTATCTCATAGACATTTATCTACTGAAAATGCATTGAATATACATAAAGTAAATTTACCATTATCAAAATTTCATGATGAATCTAAAGAATATCAATCTAATCGAAAATTTAATTCACTTTATATGCATAGTTTTGATGATACAATACATGATAGTGTATTATTAATGAAAAGAGATAAATCATCAATTCCTATTAAATCATTAAATTATAATAATAATATGATACTTAATACTACTACTACTACTACTACTAATACTACTAATTTATCTAATTCTATCCAATTACCACAGATACAAACATCAAATAAAAATTATATGAATACTACTAAACAAAATACTAAATTATTAAAAAATTTAACTAGACAAACATCCTATTCAATAAATAGACCATTCAAACGTTTAGCTGCTAGTTTTCGTTTAACTAAAAATATTAAACATTCATCATCAGTTAATTATAAACAAAATTCTTTTACAAATGTTCCATTAAAATCTAATATTATTTCTAGTTGGAATTCTATTTCAAATTGTATTGATTCTATACAAATAACTTCAGATACTACTACTACTAATAATAATGATATTAGTAGTAATAATAATGGAAACAATATACGTACACGTAATGTTATTCTTCAAACAGATCAAGATTTTATAAATGAATTTAAATATGAAAAAAATTTACATAAAGGACATTTATTATTAAATGATTCAATAGATCATGAAACAGATAGTTTATTAAGTCAAGATGATAAACCAATTGGTAATTCATTTCATTTAAAAGAACAATTTTTTGCATTTTTTCAACCAACTGGTAATAAATTAGCAATGAAATTATTTGGTACTAAATTAGCATTAGATAGAGAAAGATTAAGACAAGAACAACAAGGTGATTGGATTATACATCCATGTAGTAATTTTCGGTAAGTTTTTGTCATTGTTGTTGTTGTTACAGTTTATTATTAATGATAGAAACCTAACAAAAGTGTGTTTTAAAAAAAAAATCAATATTAGATTGATTGGTAAAGGAGAAGTGTTAAATTGAATAAATAATTTCATACATAACTATTTCATATTGATATAGCAACAATGAAGGCATAGCAACTATCCTACAGTCAATTTCGGTTAAGCCCTTATATTAACTTACTTAATAGACAATGTTATTTGAACAGTAACCATTTGCATATTTATTTGAACCGTTATGATCACCAGAGAACATGACAGACTCTAACTAAAATATTGATCGCTTAAATATCACTCGATGATTCATCCTCCACCCCATGTATGTATGTGCTCAAATCCTATGATTAGTCCTTGTTTTGACTTATTGTGTTCCCTTATTCAATTTAACTATAAATTTACCTATGTCATTGCTTGTGCATACTTATTCACTTCTCCATTTCATATTCGCTTGATGTGTTTATAGTTTTTATGATCTGCACTATCCTCTAATAAATTGTAATTCATGCTTCTGATTTCAAAAATACTGTTGAGTTCTAGATTCTAACGGTTATTGAGTTGATCGATTCACAAAGTCAAACCATTACAAAGATTCTCGTGTGTTATAATCTCATCGTAATTGTTCAGTAAATTTATAAATATAAATCTTTTGCAAAGGAAGAGATGAAATTTTCAAAAAAAGATTTCAGAAAGATCATGAATAAATGCCTACTGAGATTAATGAGGTCATGTACAGATATTTTAATTATATTCCAAACAGAAAATCTTAAACAATTCGTTAACTACTAAAATCTAATAGGTTACATTACTTCCACTAAATAGTACTTTTTATTTACACATATACTCTTTATTCATTCAGTGTAAACTGTATTCAAAATGTGATAGGATCATTTTAAGAATACAAACAGCTTGTCTACATACTAAACTTTTTCATTATTATTTTTGTTGTTGTTGTTGTATGGTTATGTAAGAAAGAAACTCAGTGAACAATAGGCATTTATTATGTTTTAATGTGTATAACTTTAACAGAATAAACCTTCAAGTTTAATGATTCCTAGTTTCCTCTCTCTTTTTATTGTTCTTTTCATTATTACTCGAAATTACATGGATTCATGAATAAATTTACAAACTATTCAATTCATGAAATACATAAAGATTATCTTGTTAAATTCTGATAGTTTTCTTCTTTTCTTTTTCTTCTCTAGAAACCATTAAATTTACAGGTTGTTTTATTCTTTCTCTATAGGATTATTGAAATTATCAAAGTAGAATTAGAATTAAAAAGAAAACATCAGTACATAGTGATTTAGATAGATGGAAATACCTTCAGTTTCAATGCACTTGATATTGTTTGCTTATATCTTCCGATTGTTGTTTACGACTGAAGTTGATTAGTCTTTTGTTGCCATATATATATCCTCTGAGGATTGTCTCGATATTGATTTCAGTCACAAGCTTCATAAACAAACATGGATAGTGGCTAGTAGTGAAATTCGGGACACACGTTTTGTCTTATTTGAAGCGAAGAGTACTGGGTTCAAATCTCAAAGAGAACATTAACTTTGAGATTTAGATGTATCCAGTTGACGAGTTGAAAATAGGATAAAATGCGCGTACTGGATTCCATTGTTAGCCACCATCTGTCTTTATTTATAATGCTTATAGTATATTTAAAAACTGTATAACATTTGTTTTTCCTGAATAAATTTAATGGTTTTCAACATTGTGTAGGATGTTTTAAAGATGAGAAATAGTTTTTTGTTTTCAACGTTTAGAAAAAACAGTTTTATCTCAACAAAACAAACATACTAACAATATAGAATTTTGTCAACACGAAAAATGAGACATTTTCATTGCTTTACAAAGCTGTCAATTTCTTTCATTATTTATATATTAATCCAATTAAATTGTTAGTTGTCTTATCTTTTCAAACTTGTAAATGTCTTACAGAATTTAAGCATGAAAATTAAAGATTTAGACTAATTTTTTTTGGCAAGACCTAAGTATTCAAATTTAGATCTTGTTTCATAAATCTTGTTTAAGACTCTTCAAGATTAAGAAATTGAAATCTCTAATAAGATAGATACAAGAGTTTAGACCATTTTAGATCAAGTGGTACCAAGACATATTCTCAGAAGGGGTTTGTGGAGATTTTAGAAATTTCATAGATTGAAGTCATGAATCAATTGAAGCTAAATCTGGAAGCACTGGACAGTCATTTCGTTCTAGTACGGGACTCCTCAGCAGTGCGCATCCACGATCCCGCACCCCACGAGATTCGAGCCCAAGTCCTATCGGTCTCGCACCAGCCGCTTAACCAACTAGACCACTGAGCCGGCATTCAATGGTGTTAATGTCTAATTTCAACTGAAACGGCCGTCCAGTGCTTCCAAGTTTTTCATGGTGGTCTAGCTTCAATTAACTCATGATTTCAATCTGTGGAAGATGTATTCATTTAAAGTAGAATAAACATTCTGTTTTCAGCTTATACCATACAAGTTATATGAATTGTTTACCTTTTAAAAAAATATTTGTTTCTTAAATCATTGAACATGATAAACCCTTTAAATGAGAATTGGTTAAATGAATGTAGCATTGAATATACAGTAAATTCCACATTGAACAATTGTTCCAAACTTCTATTATGTAGGTTAAATTTTATTAATGTTTTCATGATATCCAATATTATTTCACACTGAATAGTTTTCATGACCATTAACACTAATTGAATTCTATTATTATTATCATCATCATTCTTTTTATGTAATAGATTGTGTATCAGTAAACTATGTTTGAGAATGAAGTGAATGAATATTCTGTAAAAGAAAGAATGGTTACTAATATGGTTACTAGATTAGATTTTTTCATTGGTAAACGTAATTTCTGTAAATGAATCTATAAAACTCTTAGTTATTCTATTGCTGATATTTTAACTGAATTGTTATATGTAGATTCTGTATCAATCTCTATGATACAGTAATTTTGTCACAAGCTTGTTGGAAGTGTCGTAAATAAAGTGATGAGAAGATGGAGTTGATCGGATCAACTAATTGTTTTAAAGTCCCACATAAGATGAAACGAGTATTTTGAATTCCACTGCTAACCAAAGACCATCACTTTAATAAAACTTGTAGTTTATATAGTATTTTTTCATTATCTAAATGATACAAGTTGAAATCTAGTCTTTAGTTAAGTGTACACGCAAATTTGTATGTTATAGTTGTACATTCATTTATACATCACAATGAATAGATTTGTAGTATTACAAAATCTTGAACCAATCAGTGTTAGACCAACATTGGAAATGTGAAAGCAGTGGATAGCTATTTCATTCTAGTATGTAACTCCTATACAATGTTCATTCACGATTCAACCGTATTGTGTAGGACAGTTACATACTGAAGACAGTGGAAGATAGTCATGTAAGATCATGGATTGATCAAACCTATACATTAACATCGTTGGATCTCATCTCAATGGTCTAACGGTTGCGTGTTTATGTGTGAGTCTAAAAGTTCTCGAATCGAATCTCACATGGAAAATCATGAAGTACACACTGCATATTAATCCCATACTACAATAAAATGACTGTCTTGTGCTTCTAGATTTTTAATCGTTCTCTGTTGACGATCGATTGATGATGTTAGTGAAACATTTATTGATAAATATATTGATTAAATTAAAAATATTCATGATCACAAATTAGTTCAATAAGGTCGTTTTAATCATTTATATATATGATCATATTTACTGTTCAATGAACTGTAATTTCTATTTCACTTTAAGAATGTTTCTAAATTTTCTTCACTATTATTTACTTGAATGTGTTTTTCCGACTTGTATAGATATGAAGAGAAGGATTGTTACACATTGTTTTTCCCCATTTTCAAGGTTAAAATGATGATGATCATTATGATAAAAACAAAGTAACATATTATTTGAATGTAGGAGAAAATGTAAAGGATTAAACGACAATTTTGTGATTTAAAGATTAAATGATTACAGTGAATCAAAATCTTAAATTTCTTAATTGTCCAAAGGAATTCATTGCGTGATATTGACTTTTGAATGAATAGAGAAAATGTATAGTTCCAGTAAATGAATTTATTAAAATTATGTTCTTTAATTAAAAGGTTTAAATTCTTTCAATAGTTTACTAGATAGACAATATAAGTCACAATTGATTAATCACTAGGTGGTGACCAATATCATGTGCGTCAAGTCCTGATTAGTACAGATCGATCAGTCAATTGCGATTACATCTCAGTCCTACAGGAAGTTGGTCGCAGCCCGGATAGCTCAGTGGTAACGTCCCTGACTGTGAAGCTGGGTAACACGGGATCGAATCCGTCAGGGAGCATTAGTTCCCTCAAGATTACAGGTACACCCTGCTGATGAGTGCCAAGTAGCACGAAACCTGGGTCCAGGGTTTCCTGCCGACTACCTCCAACCACCATCTAATCAGACAATATGAGTTTTACAATTAAACTATCCAGCTTAAAATGACATGAATTTTCATCAAATTGAAAAATTTCCTTAGACTTTCCATTGATATTAAGGTTTGACTTTGGTGTAACTTGTGAACCTATGTCCCCTGTTTATTGTATAACTCAACGATACCACCAATCAAAGAGCAGCGAATTATCGATCGAACCAGTAACGCACAAAACAAGTGCGAGCAACCTAGAGTTTTGATCGGTCCTGCTTTCCGCTAAGCCCAGCCAGTTGAGTCCAGAACACCAATCTCAGGCTCTGCGATATGAATCATACTAGGTTTATACACCAACCAGACAGACCACAACGTACCATAAAATATGAAACAACATTTGTACAAGAATTAGCCAAATGTGGCTGTGAATGAGGGAGATAGTAATTAATAGACAGGTCATAACTCAAGAAAGGTAAATCGTATAGTAATAGTCTATGGGTCAAATCAAAGCTTATAATAAGAGAGACATGAATATGAACAGTTTAATTGGATAACAATTACACGATAAAAATATACGCATAGTATTGGACC